GTTATCTCATTTGTTAGCACACAATTTGTCATGGCATGAATTGCGTCTCCCCAAAATTCATAGTTTGAAGCCCCTAACCCCAAAACCTCAGAACATGACTGTATTTGGAGACAGGGCCTTTAAGGAGGTCATTAAGGGAAAATGAGGCTGATAGGGTGGGCCCTGACCCGACAGAACTGAGGTCCTTTTAAGAAGGGGTTAGGACAGACAGCCACCAGGGCTGTGCACACGCAGAAAAAAGACCTCGTGAGACACAGTAGGAAGGCGGCTGTCCGCAAGCCAAGGAGAGAGGCCCCGGGAAAAACCAACCCTGCCGACACCTGGATCTCAGACTTCCAGCCTCCAGAACTGTGAGATAAAAGCCCCCCAGTCTGGGGTGTTCTGTTACGGCCGCGCGAGCAGACCAAGACACAGTTGTTCACAGTGTCCCCTGATAATCCTTTTTATCTCTGTCAGGTCCAGAGTAACGTTCCCCTTGCATTCCTGATGTTGGTGAGCTGAGTCCTCTCTCTTCCTTTTCCTGCTCAGTTTAGCCAAAGGTGTGTCAATTTTGTTGATCTTTTTCAAAGAACCAGCTTTTGGTTTTGTTGATTTTCTATACTGTTTTTCTATTCCCTATTTCATTATTTTCAGCGCTAATCTTTATTATTTATTTCTTTCCTTCTGTTTTCTTTAGGTTTTGTCTGTTCTCCTTTTCCTGTGTCTCAGGGCATAGATTTGGGACCTTTCTCTTTCCGTAATCAAAATGTTTACAACTATAAGTTTCCTCTAAACGCTGCTTTAGCTGAATCTCCTTAGTCTGGTACGTTGTGTCTTCGTGTTCATTCACCGCACAGTATAATGATTCATTTTTGCATCACAACCCGGTAAACGTTCAACAGATGTTTGTTGATAAATAAAGGCACCACTCCTCTCCCGAAACGGAGTACGATTCTCCGAAACCTCCCCTCTGTCTTACACGATGGCTCACCTGTCCTCAGCCTCCCTTCCCGCCACCCTCTCAGAGAAGGAGGATCGTGAAACGCAGCTCGGACCTCCCCACCTGTGGCCAGTGGCCCTCGAGCCCAGGCGGGCATCAGGGGCTCCTGCAGGGCTTGCTCAGGCGCACCCAGAGCCTCTGAGTCTGCGGCCGCAGGTGCGGCCCGAGAACCTGCCTTTCCAGAGAAGTCCCAGTTGAGGCTGGTGCTGCGGGCCCGGGGACCACACTCTGAGAACCACTGCTTCAGACGCTCCTCCCTCTGGGTAAAGCCTCCTCCCTGCTCGGCTCTGGGCTCCTCCCCCGGCCCCTCCATCTGAGATAACTTCCACTGTGTCCGTCGGGATGCAAAGATGATCATTATCTTGCCAGGCCCACCTCGGTCCCCTCTGCCCCTCACACGGGTGTCACTGCGCTGTGTGACCGCCACCTGTTTGCTTGCTCTCGGCTGCACAGGGAAACAGACCACAGAAGGGTCTTCAGCTGGTCCCCGCTCCCGTGTGCCTACGTCCCACAGAACACCTGCCCCGACTCTAGCTAATGAGGGCGGGAGGCCGGGAGGGCTCCCAGCTTCAACGCCGGAAGTGACCGTCTCCCTTCCTCCTCTGCGTGCTGCCTCGACGCGGATTCGGCCCTGCTGCAGCCGTCTGGCTCCCTGCTTGAAGATGGGACCCGCAAGAGCGGCAAGGCCAGGAGTCGGAAGGGACCAGAGCCAACCACCAGCAAGATGCGGCGCCCAGCTTCCCGGCTGGTAAGTCACGTTTCGTTATCGTCTGAGCCAGGTGCAGACAGACTGCAAACGCCCCAAATGTAGAACCCGTGCCCGTGTTGCCTCAGCACCCCTCTCAGGCAGTGGAGTCTTCTAGACACTTCCATAACACGCCGCACATGACAACAGTGCTGGGTTAACGCTGACACAGCCTTACTGACTGAGGAGGGCCGGACCGTGGAGGAGGATTTGATCCCCGCAAAAGGTAAAAGCCGAGCTTGAGGAACTTCCTACTTGCGCCCCCCCGGCAGCAAAGCACAGTAACCCCACTGCCGCCTGGGGGTAGTGACAAGTGGCTATGTCACTTAAGGTCAGTCTGGGGCAGCAAAGTCCCAAGGGAAGGATGAGAGGGTGCAGCTTTAAGAAGAGGAAGGCAGGACGAGGCCTAGCTCTCGCAGCCAAAACTGAAAAGTGCATCCCGGGAAGGCCCCGGGCTGAGCCGGACGTGCAGCCAACGGCACATCTGGTCGCGGTTAGCGTCGTCCGCGGCCAGGAGGTGAACAGGATGCGGCCACGGGCAGTTCACAGTCAGGGCCGAGGGGGTGTGCAGATAATTCATTCCAGTAAGACAATGTGACATCTGCAGTCGTACAGGAACATTTCCAGTGACGGGACTAAGGGCGAGATCGCCCTGCACCCTGGGCTGGCCAGGGAAGCGGCACGGAGCACAGAGGCGGCGGGGCTGCAGCGGCGTCCACGCCGGGCGCTGCTTGTCCGTCTCTGCACTCCCCGCACCTGGCACAGGCCGTGGCTCCGTGAAGATGCTCTAGCCCCTGGCTGAATGAGCGAGTGAGTGAACGAAGGAATTACTAAAATGAATTATAAAGTCTGGACATACAATTTTTAAAAGAAAATCTAATTTCTTTTTTTTTTTCTTTTTTTTGGAGACAGAGTCTTACTCTGTCACCCAGGCTGGAGTGCACTGGTGTCAGCCTAGCTCACGGCAACCTCAAACTCCTGGGCTCAAGCGATCCTCCTGCCTCAGCCTCCCAAGTAGCTAGGACTACAGGTGTCCACCACCATGCCCGGCTGATTTTTCTATTTTGTGTAGAGACGGGGTCTCGCTCTTGCTCAGGCTGGTCTAATTTTATTTCTTTATATGACCAGTCTACAGAGGAAATGCAACTTACTGGTAACTGTATTTTCTGGTGCAATGAACCTCAGCCGCAGTGACCTGAGCAGTAGTGATTGAAGGCAAAGGTCAGAAGCAGCAGATGTAATTTAAAAAAAATGTCTGTACAGCAAAGGGCACAATCAACAGAGTGAAATGGAAACCCACAGGGTGGGAGAAAATATTTGCAAGTCATATACCTGATATGGGGTTAATATCTAGAATGAATAAAGAACCAACAACTCAACAACAAAAAAACAAATAACCCAATCTCAAAATGGCAAAGGATTTGAATGGACCTTTCTCCAAAGAAGACATACAAACGGTCACAAGCACATAAAAAGGTGTTCAGCATCACTCATCGTTGGAGAAATGTAAATCAAAACCACAGTGAGACACCACCTCACACCTGTTGGGATGGCTACCATCAAAAACCAAAATATGTGTAGGTGAGGATGTTAGAGACATGGAAACCTTTGTGCACCGT